TCCCCTCAAAAAATCCCAGACATACATGACTGCAGTGATGCTGCTATTGTTTTGGGAGTTATCTCTGTCTTTTGCAACATTTTGTGTGCTCAGACTACAAAGTATGTTTTATACATCTTGTGTGAGGCTATGGGGTAATGAGAGGATGACCTGGGCAAAAAGCTCAACAAAATGGTGTGATTATGACATAGCTGTGGTGCCATAATGCAGGTCAGACAGTGGCCCATTTAGGAAAAAAAAAAAAAAACTCCCAAAAGACAGAGCAGCCGGCTGCTGCTCAGCCAGTCTGACCCTCTCTCTGTCCATGTGGCAGGTTTTTCTCTCTTATCTGTTTCTCTCATTTAAGCCATCTTATTTTAACTACATAGCATTTCTCAAGAGGCTACTTCTCAGTCTTTATTTCTTACAGTTCCTTTACTTGTAATGACACATTCTGTCCATTTTCTATTAAATGGGTTACATTTGGATAATTCTCTCTTCAGGTTGCTTTTTTTCGATTTGTCCATTCATCCATTTGTTCATCTCCATGCCCCTGTTTTTGCCGGCGCTCTTTCTCTCTGTGCACAGTTTTTCTGCCCTGCAACAGACTGCAATGAGCAGAGAGGCCAGCCTGGGAATCACTAAGCTATTGGTTTAATGATGCCAGCTCCTACTTTACAGGGATTTACATGTCTGTGTCTGTAAACACCCCGTCCACACACAAACATTTGCATACAGACATGCAGGGGTGTGACAGAACGGCTAAAAAGCACTCAGACATTGACTGCATCTGCAGACTCTGCAGTAGTTAGACAGTTACCAGAGGTCAAACGCACCGGCAGACTTAACTCATTTGCTGGTGCAGAATTTATTTTTAAATCGCACAGGCTAAAAATCTCTCACAGGCTTAGACGTGCAGATTTCTGGGTAAGGTTTACGTAAAGAGTGAAAAAAGTAAAAGGCACCAGGATCATTGAGACTGATGATACAGTGAGAGTCTGAGGGCTGTGTTTTCCGGGGTGGAGAGAGAGCAGGATGAATAGCAGCATGAGTGGCTGTGACTAAAAGACAATGCAGGGAGGTTGGAAAATTGCACATCAGTGTAGGAGAATACTCAGCAAAGAGGATGTCAGGGTAAGGGGGAGAGGGAAAAAAAGGAAAGGCCATAATGATGGCATTCATTCAAGCACATGCGTCAGGTGTTTGCCTGCATTTCAAGGACACGTTTGGGGGGAAAAAAACAAGTGAAGAGAAGCAGAGTGGAAAGTGGAAGAGGAGAAGGAGCAGCCGATATATGTAAATCCTGTCTGGGTTTCAAGTAGATCATGGACCTCTTAATCTCATCCACTTGACAAACATACACGCAGGACCAGGCAGACGTCTAGCTAGCCTATTTTCATGTGACCTGAATTCCCCAGTGTGGCTTTTTTTTTCTGCCAGACTAATCTCATTAAGCTGGGTGCTGAGCTAGAGCACAAACACACTCGGCATCCCTCACTCCTACTCTGCCTTCCTCTGGTGCCTTTGCCTCCTCCTCATCGTAGTCTCCATCAACCCCCCCCCCCCCTTACTCTCATCTTCTGTGCTCCCATTTTTGTCACTGTCTTCCATCCTCTGCCTCCTCTTCCTCCTACTCAGTTGTCTCCCATATGTGTCCCTGCTTTCTGTCTAATTATGGCCTGCCACTGCAGAACAGAGGAGAGTGGGCCCAGCTAGGCATTGGAGTCAAGATCAGAGAGCCACCTCTGCCTCCAGACGTACAATCAGTCCTCATTATTACTGGCTCTCCTGCCTTCCCCCTGCCTCTTCATGTCTGCTTGTGAAACCTCCACACACCTTCCTCCACCAGCTTGTGGAAAATCAGCGCAATACACTTTTGCATCTGTGTTTCATGCCTAATTCACAGCCTGCTCACCACAAAATACAGTTATTTACAATTATCTTAATCCCCCGGCCACTTCCAGGGCTGGCTATGTGTGTGTTTGTGTATGATTTAAAAAGAAAAAAATGAAAATAAGAACCACCCAACGAGCAAAGTTATTTATAAGATAAGGACTAGTTTCCAAAGCAGGGCACTGAGGATGGAATATAAACTGCTACCACATGCAGTTTTGTTACAGATGGTTAACCCAGATTGGAGGTGGAATCTCAGCCTCCAACCAGCTCCCAGTCAGTAGTCTTCTTGCCAGTTTTTTGTTTCGACTATCATGTCACAAAATTCTTGGTCGAAGGAGGTCATCGTCAAAACAATGATGTTGTCATGAACATTAAGCCCTGGAGTTAATGAGAAGTTTGAATCCCCTCTCACTGCGGAGAAGAAGGCAATGTTTCAGTCATGAGGCTTTTCCATTTCATTAACAGTAAAGATTAGGATGGATTGCTTAGCATTTTATTTTAATATTTTAAGAGGAATTACTGTACCTTCAGAGGAATTCAATTATACTAATTTCAAGCCTGAAATGTAGCAGGATGTAAACCCAGAGGAAGCTGCCAATGAATACAGTGTGAGGCGAGGTTTCCTGAATAGCAAAAATGGTGATTAAAGACATGGGGCCTGAAGTGGTGAGTAAAATATTGTGCAAAGTTTAGCTTATATTGTTGCTCTAGTATTATATTTACATGTTAGCCTTGTTTGATATTAGCTTCATAGCTGAGCTTTGTTTTTACTACTAATTATGATCTGTTTTTTATTCTGAAGCTGTTCTGTAGTGCATTTTATAGCTCTGTATTTGCTCTGATTTCCACCCTTAGATAGAATAGAAGCCTATTGGATGTATTTTGTGTTTTTTACGTGCCGCGTTTGGAAGAAATCAGATAATTCAGTATGGCTGTTTTGGGTTCAGATTAGCTCTGTGTCTGGCACATATCAAACCTGGATTTTTATTTTTACCAACATCTACAATGTTTCCTTCCTTCCAACTGAACAGATCCAGGATTTACTTGGAAACCTTTCACATAATATGAGTTGTGTTCAGTCAGCGGTTAGACTGATTTCATGAAAACTGCGTTAAGTTAAGCTCCTTTCAATGCTCTTGACTCCTATGATCTCATTGTCTGCATTTTGTTGTCTCAGTCTCAGCTTAGCTGTTGACACGTCAACTCTTTCTGCTCAGTTCAGCACAAGACACACAAGACACTGTGTACTGGTAGATTAAGGTCAATATAATACACTATAGCCAGTGTTCCATTGTTAAGCTTTCTAAATTCTCTTAAAAATTCATCTGACCAAAAAGCAAGGCACTTGTTTTCTATGCTTTTGCTCTTTGGTAAATTAAAGCAAAAACTGGTCCATTTTGTTGATAGTCTGCATTATGTTTAGTCTCTCTTTTTTTTTTTTAAGTGTTATTCTTTGCTACTGGTAAATGATCATTTATGCAGCACTTTGTCCTCAGATTTCACCATCATGCAAATCAGTCGTCATCTCGAACTTTATACTGCAATACCGTCTGGTTTTTATCTTTTTAAAGATTGTTCATTTTCCCACGGTGCCTGCAGGTTTGTCTCTGCATGCGTCACCATGGAAAATGTCAGGAGGGACCTTATCTCGTCGTGATGGCTCCTGTCTGGCTTGCAGATGCATTGTTATGAACACAGTAACTAAAGGACAGGATAAAATCTTTATTTTTAAACCGCAGGTTCCCCTTTTAGAGTATTTTGTCTGAAGTCCTTGAACATGCTGCATAGATTTCCATTAATGATTAAACCAGTTTACCTGTTATTTACTAGTTAGTTCCTTTTTCCAGATCGTTTACTTGTGTTACAAATGTCAACAAGTTCTGTGACCTGAGCCATCCTGAAATGCAAAAAAAAAAAGAAAAGATTTAAAAGTTTCGAATGTGGGACTTTCTATGTGAAGGAAGTAGATTGGACTCATTCATACTGTCCTTTCTGTTTAGAATTCCTAAAAGAGGAACTCCATCTGTTTAGGATTTGCTGTGGAGCATGTCACTGTAGTTGCTTTCACATTTCATTTTCTTTTTTTCCCAGTACATAGTCAATGGCGGTATGTAGTAAAATTGTTTGTTTGAGTTATTTGAAAGGAAAGTTATTTATGTATATATTTGTGAATGTTATTATGTTGGTTGGATATGTTTACCACAGGTTTTTGAAGGTCTCTATTACAGTAAACCACCATCATACACTGTTTACTCATCTTATGATTTATTGAAATTACCAAGCCTCAAGACTGACCAAAATCTCTAAACTGATACCACACCCGACACACAAGTTTAAAATCCAAAGGAGCTATAATCCCAAATGAAATCTGAGACTCTGCGTCCCTTCATTTTCGAAAGTCATCTGTCAATAAAATAATTATTTATTTCCTAATGCGGGCTAGATGAGAAAATTGATGCCAGCATGTTCACAACTGTTAGTTAGACAAAGCAGCTGCTTAGCATTTAGACTGGAAACACAAGGAAACCTTTGACTGGTTAGTGTCCAAAAGTAACTAAATAAATATACCAGAATTTCTCAATCTCACAGGTCACCACTGCAGAGGAGACAATGAGTGGGATTATTTTTTATTTTTAGCAATTTTTAGAAAAAGTTTTGTCATTCTATTAACAAAAAGATCAACTTAACACAGCATGCAAAGAACTGTAAAACTGTAATCATAGCTATTTGAGGACAAAAAGGTGTGTAACATAGATGAAGGTGAATAGATTCACTGCACTTCTTTTTATTTTGACACATTTTGAGTTTCAGTTTTAAAACACACTTTTCTGCTGTCAAATGATTGTTTCAAATTAACAAACATTATGACACTGAAATGGCTCCTTACACCTCTTGGAAACGTGATGCAACATCTCCTGATCTGTGGCTTATGAGATCATCTCTCTGTCCCCAGCTAAGACTTACTTACACTGGCATTTCACCTTCTTTTCCTTCACCCCCCCCCCCCTCCTCCTCAACCCCCTGCTGATACAATCTATCAGGAGACAATCATTTAAAGGTATCATAATAAGTGAAACCAGTGGAGTGGGAAACCAATTAACCTTTACTTCCTCCTTCTCCCCCAGGCCCAGGACCTGAATGTTATTGAGGAGGTGATCCGCATGATGCTGGAAATCATCAACTCTTGCCTGTGCAACTCTTTACACCACAACCCCAACCTGGTGTACGCGCTGCTCTACAAGAGAGAGCTCTTTGAGCAGTTCAGGACGCACCCATCCTTCCAGGACATCATGCAGAACCTCGACACGGTCAGTCACATTTCACAAGTGAATGAAGAGAACCTCGGACCTCCGAGCATTTTCGCATCGGGCCTTCAGCCGCTATGCTGAAATTCCTCCACATAGGTCAAGCCTTTATAGATTTTCTCCCCGTGTTCTCTCTGTTTGGTGGGATTGGTTTTCAGAAAGCTGGACCTGGCTAGAACATATGCAAACTGCACCGTTAACATGGAGTGTATGGAGAGGCAAAGCCCATTGAAACTAAGTAGTATCATTGAATTAATCAGTCTTGTGTCAAAAGACTCAGTCAGATAATCATTGAGAGTGTAGGTGCAGAAGAGGAGGAAGGGAAACTGTTAGCAAGAGCTGTCATTCATAGCTATATTGGTCATGTATAAGAGGAAAGCAAGCTTTAGTGTGTATGTGTGCAGAATGGGGGGTTGCTGCATACATTGCCATGGGCATTTCTGCTATCCATAAGTATGAGGCAGGCATGCTAGCTTGAAATTCTCGGTTAAGTCGGCTTCCCTAAGGCCATTCTCCGAAGCATTCCCTGCTCTTGAAAATCTGTACTTGCGAGCATGAGGCCCAGGATGAGAAGCTGCGTCTTTGCTCTTCTAAATTAACCCCATATGGGAGGCCTTCAGAGTTAATGAAGAGATTAGTATTAGATAGACGCAGACGCACACCACACCCGTACGGCTCGTTATATCGCTAAAGCAACTGCAGAGCGTAAGACGAGAAAGCACTGCCTGTGGATGTATTTTTCACTGTTGGTTTGACAGGGAAAAAAAAACATTAAAAAGAATCTGTAATACAGAGTTGTTGTTTTTTTTAATTTCTAACATCAAACATTTCTCCAAGGAAGGAAAATTGTTGAGTTTAAACCCAGAGGGCATCAAATAATTTCAGTGCGAGTGAAGTGCATTTTAGAAGCATAATAAAAAAAAAATCTAACTCTGTGATGAATTTGTAATCCATTTCCTTTGACTAAAACAGCATTTGTGCAGTTTTGTATGTTTTTTAAATCTTATTTGCAGCTATTCTCAATCTCTCTCAGTTCATTACCAAATAAATCAATAGATTTTTCATTCTGTAACAGTGCAAAGTTTAGAATAAATTTCATGAGATCTACAGTTGCTAGGAAACACAACAATGCACATGTTTCATTTTCCGTTCATGGAAGCAACTACATGTTTTGTTAACTCAAATGAGTTACAATGGTTTCATTTATTTCTCTTACAAGTAATAATATCTTTTAACAGTGTTATTATTTAGGGAGTTCCTCTCTATAAGGTCAGGGCATGCAGCATTATGTCATTTGGTCCTCATTTGGTGTGGCTGCTGAAATATTAATGGGACTCTACCAAACAGTGAGATTTAAAGAGTCAAAGGGCTTTATGTTGTCAGCATGTTTACAATTAAGTGAGGTCGAGTATGATGTCTTAGGTTTTTTTTAAACAAAACTTGATGAGATTTAGGTAGGAAGAAAAAAAAACAGGTCTCACCAGTTGATTCCAGTTTGTGCCAGCAAACAATAAACTTAAGTAATTTTTTGGCACCTTCCCAGACATGATAATCCAGAGGGCTCTCTATTTTTCCTTAGTTGTATTTTTCTTCTTCAGGTTATGCTTTCCAGTTAGTACAACTACTTCCTCTAATGACAGACAAGCAAAATAACCATTGCTTATGCCTTTACCCTCTAGTCACTTTGGAAAAAGGCCCTTTTAGATGTTCTATCCGTGTGCATGAAGTCAGGTGTATGATGACTTTGATTAATTACTTGGATTACTTGCAAAAAGACCGTACCTACAAACACAACACGCCTTAAAACACATCTATTACACCAGCTGTATGCAAATGTGTGACTGGCTGTTTCCTGCTGTGTGGCCTTTAGGTTATTGGATTCTTCAGTCAGCGTCTGGAGCAGGCTGGAAGTGACCTGTCAGTTGAGAGAGTTCAAGAGGTCATCATGAAAGGAGCCCAAGCCTTGCCTAAAGACCGACTGAAGGTAATTTGCACGCAGAATGATGAACGGAATCGAGGAGTGATGAAAGTGATGGCTGTCCAAGAAAACAAAAACTAGGCCTTGTTTGACATTGTGGTACATGTGTAGAACTTAGAAATATGTTGTCAAAAACTGTGAGGCATCTGGGATGGTTGTGGAGGTTGGTGAAGAAAAGGGAATGAGTTTGTCCGGACAGGTTTCTTGAGGAAAGTATGAAATGGGAATATGGAAGGGGTCAACAGACGAGCAGAAAAGAGCCATTGGGACATGAAACAAAAGGCAAAGCCCAGGTCTCATTAGCATTAATGCTTATCGTTATTCCTCCTCTGCCGGCCGGCTACAGTCAAACATGTAATGACATTTCAAGGAGATGGGATGGGGGAGCTAGGGGGCACTTTGTCATGAGCACATAAGATTGGGGGGGAGGGGGGGGGGTGGGCGGGGACATAAATCTGCCACCGCGCCTCGTTACCCAGCACTCCTGGCGGGTTCTCTAACCCCTCCTCTCCTGATGCTCCTCCATTAATCAGTGAGGAAATATGTAACCAGGGGTCTCCGCTCTCCGCTCTTCACCAGCACAGAAGCTCTTAATTGCATGTTTCATCATGTGTTTCATGTTCTATACTTGGCGGCTGGCTGCAAGGCATTTGTCTCGCTAGCCCAAGTGGAAGAAGGATGGTGCGTGGTCATGAGTCCATGTGCTCCCTTTGCCTCGCTCTCAGTCAGCACCTTCAAGCTCTAATGTTGCAATCAACCATAAAGTCGGAGAATTACACATGGAATGGTGTAGATAACCCTAGGCCACGTCCTTCAGCAGGAGTGCTGCACCTGTAGCACGGCCCCACGCAGCCAGCCACAATGCACATAAGGGCATAAGTCTGTGTGTGTGTTACACTCGCTGCCATTTGGGTTTTCGCGCAAACTTTGCTGAGTCTGGACATACAACAACATGCATGCATAATTGTGCAGCCAGTCTCGCATTGACTCCAACCATCTGAGTGCTTTCCAGTTCCACTGGGTGACATGAAGCGAAAAGAATATCAAGCCAATGTCTCCTCTGGGAGAAGTCCATGCCTTCTGATGGCACCATCGCTCAAACAAACAGCTGTCTGTCCTCCTCTCACTTCCCTCCATCTTATGAGCTCATCCAGCTTCCAATCTTAAAATCCATAGGTTTGATTAATGTTGTGTGGAATCATCGATGAGTTGGTGATTACTCAGTAAAAGGAATATTGGTGTCTTAATCAATCGCGCCTTCAAGGAGAGAGCTGACAGAAAAGAGACGTGGAAAGATGTTCTTTCTGGAAAAAAGAAAAAAAAAATATCCAGACTGAGTGTGAGAATTTTAAACAACATAGTTTTCTCTTTTAGCTAAAACGTTATTCTGTTCTTTCCAATCTTGTAGTCGTTACCTTCCGTAAGAAGATTATGCGGTTGGTTTGATTTGTTTCTAGGGCCACCAGTTTGGAGGGAATGAGACAGTTGCTGTTTGTTTGTCTCTTTTCCGATTCTCTTTTAATCTGCTTTGTTCAGCTCTTGTCTTTCACATTTATCGGTGAACAGACATAATTCTTTTGGTCTCTGCTGAGCTTCCTCTTCGAATTCTTTGTTTGAACGGGTGCCAATTTCCTATTTAAATGTTGCAGTTGTGTTTTCATTCTGACTGTCAACTCTGTGTAAATTTGATGCCTTTTAAATGTTTGTTTAGAGGAGCTGACATTTGCCAAGTTTAATTTTGCCCTCGGCGACAACAGACAGAATGTTGTTTTAACATTGTAAGCACTAGTCTGCAAAAGGCCCGATCACTTAAGGACTTAAGTATTTAGACAAAGAAGTAAACTTGCAAATTAAGTCCCAACAGAAAGAAAGAGCTAAAAGGAGATGGTAAATACCCCGGGGACGACCCTTAGTGCATCGTCACTCAACTGTCTCTCCCTGATTCTTTTGTTTTTTCGTTTGTTGTTTCAGGGTGTGTGAGTTTGAGTGGCACTCTTAGGCGCTGCCTGTGGAATGTGTTGTTTAGCCAGTCCAGCTGAAATCTGCCTTATTGAGCAGCGATAGCCTGCAGACTCTTTGGCTCCTTGGAAGAGGACTGAGGGGGTGGGGCAGTGGGACTACCAGCTGTTAAGGGATTATCATAGATCTCCATATGCTCACCGGTGGTTCACCGTCTCATGAATAAGTGGAACAACCTGAGCTATTACCTGCTCTTAGTTGAGTTTGCAGTGTTGCTAGTGGTTTAACTTTGCTCTGTAGTGGACGTCTGAAGTCAAAGAGGATAAATATCTGCTGTGCTTTTTTAGCTCCTGATGGTTTTTAACACCTTATCCACTCACGGTTATCTGTAACACGCTACATCTGTCTGTTAGCTTTTTTTTTTTAAAAGCGAAGTCTGCAAATGCTGAGAGCAATGCAGACAGATGTCAGAGTGAAGATATGATGCTTACTCAGTATGTGGGCCTTTTTTGGCCTGAGACATGGTCACTTCTGCTTTATAAATAAAAATAATCATACACAACTGTTAAAATGTCTGTAAGAAAATCAACGTCCTCAAACAATGTCAGAAATTGGAATCTTCTCATGTTTGTGTTTGCTGATTTTTAATTTATTTTTTGTTTTTTGTTTTTCTTTTAAAAAAAAAGAATAGCAAACAAACTTGGCAAAATAAATACAAAACATCAAATTGTTTGCCTACTATATTATGCCTACTAGAAAAGACCACTCCAAAATGACTACCAGTATTCATACAAACATAAACAGAAGTTTTGGGAAATGTGGATGGCATTTCTCTGTGATTTTTGTTGTGTGAACTGAGAAACAAGTCACCGTTAACCATGTCAAAGTCAGGCTAGAAATCTTATAAAAAGACTTGTATGATGATTGCTGTGCAGCATTTCAGTGGTTGTGTGTGTACCTGTATTCGGGTGTTTGTGTGTTCCAAGTTCAAATTCGCTCCCCAGCCACATTCTTCTCTGTCTGGCCGAGTTCTGACAGCACAGCAGCATGCAGAGGAGGAAAAGGAACACGGAGTCCCGAATGGAGATATGAGGCCAGCAAGCCAGTCTGTGTTCAGGGGCGAAGGCCTGACCCGCCAGGACCCATAACTAACTGATATGAGCCCGAGCCAAGTGGGCCCAGTCAGCTCTGGCTGAGAGCAGAACAGAGGAGGGGGAGAGAGTAGACAAAGAAGAAGCTATGACCAAGACCGAATAAAAGGGAGGGATATACAACTAATGATGCGATGTGGCAGACTGAACACTCTTATCTCCACCTCAGAAAGCATTCAAACCTGAAAGGAATGTTTTTTGGTCTGTTTTTTTTTTTTTTTTTTTTACTGGAAAGCATGTGATGGTGTCCAATACCTACTGTGGCACAAAATTGTCTGGTTTCTATGTCCAATTAGGGTGAAGGAGGAAAAATGGTGATCATTGTGAGTCAGATTTGTTTTTCTGGTTTGGACAGAATTGAGCGATGTGCACGGCGGACTTTGGCAACCATTTGAAAATGAGCCGTTCGCTCAGCAACACAAGATGCATTCGTCACGACCTACTGTTTAGTCTTCTGTTAGCCCGTGAATATACGCTTAACTGATTTTTCAGTCAACACCAAGTATGATACCAGCTGGATGAAAAGTTCAACAGGTAACACGAAAGTGTTTTTGTGACAAGTTTAGTTTATTCGGGTTCTTTTTGGAATGTTTCTCAACTGGGAATAATAACTTCCCAGAATGTGGTCGTCAGTGTAAAGTTTGCCAGGAAACAAATAGAGACGCAAGGAAGTCCCTGCTCCCAGCCAAGAAATAGCCTGGCATAGATTTAAGACCACAAACTAGTTTAATGTAGTTTTTTTCTAAACAAATAGTTGTTTATTTGGGGTACTTTAGACATATTAGTTTATTTGTAGATTTTACCTTCTTAAGACTCTGCCAACTGATGTCCAACTATTTGCAGCCTGAACTGAACTAAGTTAAGTGACATGGGAGCAGTAACACTCCCATCCAATTCACAGCTTTAAAATAAACAAGTGTATTCCTCAGAATATACCTAGAATAACAAGTGAACTAGTTGAACACTCACTTTATTTGTCTTTTTGGTCTGTAAAATGGTATTTTAGCTCTAATAACCTGAGGCCTTAAAGACGAACGGGTCATTTGTGTTTCATATGGATGGACTGAGGGCAGTTTTTGGTTGCTTGTTTAACTTTTGCATATTAATGTTTAGTATCTTAATCCTTTCAAATTGAAATGCTTTCATTCCCCACATGTTGAAAGTATGCTAACACCACACTATTTGCTGATTAATGCATTTCATTATCTTAATTAGCTCATTAGTATAACTTGTCAAGTCTCATATATCATGATGATTATGACTGGACATTAATCTCAGCAGCAGCTTTATGCGTTTTACCCTTATGCTTGTACACCAACAAAGACTTTTAAATAAAGACAATTACACTATTTTCATCCTCTATGCTAACAAGTAAAAGTGAACTTGACCACAGTAACTGTCAGCATCAGTGTCATATGAACATTTGATGAGTTGGTAGTCTATAAGACAAGTCACCTACACACAAATGCCTGGCAGATAATACAGCTCCTGCATTGTGTCTCCCCCTCACAATGGCAGTGGTGTGTGCAGTCTAGTGTCAGTAGCCTGGCATATGGCCTGTGACCCCGTAGCCCCTCTGTCTGTGTCATTATGATACCGATAGTGTGGCTGTGAATAGAACCAGTCAGGATTCAATAAAGCAGACTGGGAGCAACTCATAAAGGCCACAGCGTCTGTCTTTCACCGCAGACTGATTACTGGACTGTGTGCATGCACATGCATGCATGCATGTGTAGACAGGGGCATATAATGAGGAGCCGTTGTATTATTGATGTTCCTCCTCTGCTGCCTACCTGCTGTTAAGTGGGCTGGCTTGGTTGTGCGCGACTGGTAGCCTTGTGTTTTCACCCAGCATTTCTTATCAGATGAGCTCTGTATTGTCTAAAAGACGAGACTGGGTCTAATTCACTTTGAACAGTCAGTTCATTATCTGATATACAGTGTGTATTTTCACATAAGCATGAAAAATTTTCTGTTTCTGACTTCTCAAATGAGAGTATTTTTTCCTTTATGTTGATTTTTTTTTTAATCCAACGTTCATTGGATTTAAAAAAATGTCACGACAAACTCCCACCTTTAGAACACTAATTAAAAAGAAAAAAAATCATCTTACCCTGTTTGCTCATTGCTCAATAGTTTAAAGTCTTAAGACATTTTGTAAATCAGAATGCTGACTTTTTTTCCCCTCATTGTGATCATTGCTATCTGTTCATCTTTGAGCACTATCGCTCAAAAGTAATCTGTCCAAACTTCATGACATAATAGCTTGAGGCAGATCACTTCTTTAAAATTCAGTGACGATTGCCTGGGAAGGTACTGATAACCACCACACAGATGTGTGGAGTGGAACATGTATGCATGCATGCAATGTCCACAGTGACTTTTTTTATAAGCTCTTTGCTCTGTCATTCTGTATCTGTGAGGGACGGTTGTGTCAGAGGCAGCAACGGTAACAGCCAATCAGGGCAGAGCAGCTCTCCTACTTAGCCCCCTCATTTTGTCTTTTTTTTTTCTTGAATTTCTGTTCACCTCCCCCGTCTCTGATTTCCAATGAAAATATGGCAGCAGAGTCGATGCAGACTGGTGGATGTTCAAACCAAGAGAAGATGGGCTTTGTGGGAGGGCCTGTTTTTACAGGAAAGGCATCCAATCGCAAAAGTGAATAGCTTCAAGGGAACTTCACCTATTGTGTGCATTCAACAGGATTATCTTTAAGCCGATTTGACCTTTTTCTTCAAGCCTCTTTTTGCCATTTATTTTCTCTGTTTATGAATAGTAACAAAAAACGTATACCTTTTTTAAAATGGCGGATGGAAAAAATAGAACAAATCCAAATGTTACATAACTAATTAGAGATTCAGCCGCAGATTAATTGTCCTTTCAACACAGTTTTATTCTGATGTGCTGATGATTTAGCTGGGAGCGTTTCATGTCAGTCCAAGCTGGTGAAGGGCCTCAGGTGTGAGTCATGTATCACTGTCTACTGGAGAATCATCTCTAAAATTTTAACTTCTGAAAACAGGAGCACTCAAAAAAAGCCCTCGCTGCTAACAGTGTTTAGTCATCTGCAGGCAAACTTGTGCATGTGGGGTTTCAAACTGTCAAGCAGCAGAGTGCACTTTTCTGTCTACTTGTCATTCCAATTTCTTAAACAAAATCCCCTTTGGTTTGCAGTCCAGACAATTATTCCCTTATGCAACACGGTTAAATAATCCATCTGATGGCGGCTGAATTCCTTTTGTTTCAGGCCTCTGGTGCTGTGTCTCCCTTAAGAAGCGTCACTCCATTTCAGCCACAAAAATTCCACATTGTCACAATCTTCTCTTTCTCTCTCTTTGTACGAACAGAAGTTCCCAGAGCTCAAGTTTAAGTATGTGGAGGAGGACCAGCCGGAGGACTTCTTCATCCCGTACGTGTGGTCCCTTGTTTTCAACTCGGGGGTCGGCCTCTACTGGAACCCGCAAGGCATCGAGTTGTTCAGCATGGACTCGGGCTGAAGAACTGCGCCAGCATCCAACGTCCAGGGCTGGAAAAAAATGATAAAAAGATAAAGACTGATAGCGCGTGTGGGGTTTGGGTGTGCACGTTGCCCTTTATAGTACGTTAACGCTGCTTTGAAAGTGCCTCGGTCTTGCACAGGACGGTGTTTCTTTTTATGCAGCACAACCTCGGTTCCCTTCATATCATTACATTTTCTCTGCTTCGACATAATGAAGCTTCATCTGTGCTGATTAACAGCGCATAAAGTAGCTCCCACTCAAGTGTACTCATGCCATGTAGTAAATACCCGTTTAACATCATACGCTAACCGGCTGCGAGGGGCTCAGGACACTGGATTTTTCTCTTTGATGCTTGCATTAACAGGTCATTTAAACATATGCACCTATGTGTTACACTGCTTTGACAAGTGTTCACCTACAGCTGGGCACAACTTCAGAAACACTGTCTAAATATATCATCTGTTTTGTGTTCTACTGAGTTCTGAATATAAGTTTGCCACATTTCTGTATTTTCACCACACATTTTTCTTTAACTGCAGTTGGCTTTTATGAAGGGTTTGTGTTTGAGATCCAAACAGATCCGAGCGTCCGTGTTCATCTCCTGTCTGGTATAGGCAGAGTTACAGTGTTGCTGGATTTCACACAATGCACACATTTAAGTACAGTTTAATTAAAGCATCCTTGCAGTCGCTGATAATTTTAGCAGTCTGCATCATTCTGATTCATGTAATCTCATCTTTGCTTCCAGCTCATTTATTTGTCTTTATCCCTTTGTCATTTGCATCTTTGTGGATAGTAACCCCAGGCAAATACTTAAAGTAGGACAGACAGTAAATCTTCTCTCCAATCTTGCATAATTGAAGCTGTCTCTTCCATTTGTTACTCTATTTGCATTTTGAAATGGAGACTTAAGTTATTTATTTTCATGTATGTTGTTTTTATATATATTCAAGAGCCCGAAATGTAAATAGTGGTAGTACTAAAGTGACTGCTGCTATGAAAAAGGACAAAAACATTAAAGTATGATTATTTCCTGGTGGGAAACGGGCTTTTTATTATTTCATATATAACATAACAGCTGTCGTTTGGTGGCAGAATTTTCTTTGAAAATGGAAGTTTAAATAAAAATGTGAAATCAAAGCATCAGCCTTGCGTTCATTCAGCACACTATTTGGGAAAGGGCTCCTTTTCATCTTTTTACCATTAAATGAAATGGCAGTGAAACGTTCCTGTATCTGTGCAACCGCATTTGATAGTACAGTTCTAAATTTAAGCTTTTCTGCTCCTCCTACATGCTTCAGAATGAAAGAACACTCACTCTTTTCCAATGTGCCACCCAACAACAGACTGCTTTGTGTGTCAGTCAGACTTCATTTATTTAGCACATTTAATACAAATCTGTATGTACTCCAAAGCGCCTTACAGAATACAAATGCAAAAAAAACCCAGCACAAACACTGAATATTTGTGTCAGAAACAGGATGTCCCATCCTGTATCACTCCAGCCCTAAAGCACTAAAGGAGTGTGCCATGAGCTACTTCCAACATAAGGGATGAAGAAAATAGGTCAAACTATGGATATAATATTTACAGCTCCCTTCATGTTTTGGAAATGGTCCTAATTTTCTTTAAGTGAAGCATAGAAATGCAATCGTGAAAAATTATGTCTCCACATTGAGTTTATCCAACAGAGTGGCCCCAATGGAGAGCTAAAATAGCTCATATTGCTTAGTATTTTGGGCATAAACTCACCATTCTGCAGTTAAGATACAAATGGAAATGACTCACCACTGTTTATTTTCTGTATGTTTATTACTGAGGTATTTTGTTAAGTTTCTCTGAAATTCCATAAAACATTTAATGATTTGCAAGCAACGTTTAGGGACAAAACATGAAGCTGTTGTGCGTTGCCAATTCTATATTCAGAAGTCCTTCACTCGGATTATAAGGAAAATGAGAGGGCTTTTTGCAGCTGACCCCAGCTCTTGTAAATATTAAGTTACTGCTTGGCCACAGATCACTGCAGCTCTCAAATGCTCCTTATCCACAGAGTTAGCCGTTACGTAACAAAAACATACTTTTTCATGTGATCTACGTTATCAATTATCTCACGACCTCGGATTAACTCTGCCAGAAAAGTTTGACCAATTCCTGTTGATTAAATTCATTTGTGTTCTCTGGAAGATCGTGGAATTTGCGAACCATGACAGATCCGTTGCTTCCCTCCTGTCCTCAGCCATGGTTTTCTCCTTCCTTCTTTTTTGTTTGGTTTTGTTTTTGGACTTGCAACAGAGCAGTACAACCTCTGCGTGTGCCTCAAAGCCCAGCTGTCTGAGTGGTTGTGCTCTGCGTCGCACAATATCAACGCGCAGAAAAAACTGAACATGCCTCGCACGTCCTCGTGGAGTCACGGCGGCAGAAACGGCACAAACAGAGGCGGAGAGCCACTTCGGAGGGGAAAAGTTTACAGCACAATGGCCCCCACTGTGCCCCTAGAGCTCCCACTTCCCGAGGGAATTTCATGCCTTTTGGCTCTATTGTAATGATTTTCATGCCTGAAATTCTCTTATTGTCAAGGACAATATAATGGATGCAATTTGATGCAAAGAATGGCTCATTTTCAGCACGGGGTCGACAGTAGGTTACTGTAACGCCGCTCGCTGGAGGAGACTGAGGCGCTGTCTCTCGTCTCTGACTCCCACCTGCTCCTGGCTCCATTATCCTAGTGCCAGGTGGTTGAACAGACGTTTTCACAAAGTGACATGGCTCCCCTTGTTCCTTTATGGTGCAGGGGTCACCTTACCATCATCTCCCATTTCAGGTGGCAGCAGGAAGATGGATGAAGCAGGGAATTCTGGGATGGGTAGTTTATTTTGTCCATGTTTGTACCTTTACGCAAGGTTGAGGTGAGATGGTCTTGACTACCAGTTCAGTGTGACTTGGAAGCCAAGAGGTCGTAACCGGATCAATTTCGACAAAGCAATGTGAAAAGAAGGGCATGGGAGAGGCGTTTGCTAAAGCGCTGGCTGCCTCCTGTGACACCCAACTCATTAATATGACTGATTACAACAGTAACAGCGGGAGGTCGTTCAGCTCAACGGTTTTAGGATGAGGTCAGAGGAGGAGACTCGCCCGCATGTAGCACGACAACAGCGCTGAGAGTTGGATTTGAATCCAGAAGCGTACGGAAAACCACCCACTTAAAAAACATCGCTCCAGATCTGCAGCAGAATTCTGTGAGTCCACCCTTCGTCAATGCTTCCCAACTTCACCAAGTTTCGTGAGATTCAGTGCCACGCTTTTTACACAATCCCAGACATGTGGGCCGATGCTCTGCTAGCAAATCTGCAGCACTGCCTTGCAGCCCATGATTGATATTTTCCTCAGGTATTGAGAAAAAAATGCCAAAGGGATTTGAAAATAGGTTTAGCTGAGGTGACTTATTAAATTGCTTTAGTTATGGATCTACAAAAGATTTAAAAATAAGATAGGGATTCCGTTTAGAGGTTGGTATCCAGCGTGGAGCACCTGGAGCGTTAAACCTAATGAACAATGCTCAAGGGGAATTTATTATCTTCTGATATCAAGACCCCCTGCATGTTTATGTGTAAATACTAAACAAAGATTTGACCCACATTGGTCCCCTTTGTGCAAAACAAGACTGAAGAAGATCTTTGAAGTGAAAATAAGGACCATTTCTGGGGTCCTTATTAGTCAAACTCTTTCTCCACCAAAAACATTTCCATTATTTCATCCACTATGTATATTCAGGCCTCATTTAGTGTCATTTTTTAAGTTTACATTTGATAAGACTAAATTCTAAAAGTCTTGAGCCTAAGGAAAGTACAACAGTTCTGTTGTTCTGTTTTATATTTTGGGGGGGCTCTTCTCGGATTGCAGGCCTTCTTTGTTGTTGCTCTGTTCTCTTAATTATTTTTGTTGTTGTCCTGAAACGTGTGATAATGTTAAACTTATTAAAAAGTTTTTGCAATGTGCTGATTTTTTTGTTCTGTTTTCGCATTTCCCATGATGTTTCATTCCTCACTACTGGACGCCGCAAACTAGAATATAGGTTAGATAGCCGTTTCTTTTCCAGAATGAGACGTTGGTAATCACACCCAGGCTTTGCCCCTTTTCCTCACTCACAAGCTCAGCTCGACATGTTAACAAATGGAGGACTTGTTTCTAACTAACGAGTTGAGACATAACTACTTTCTTATGTTTTGCCTTTTTTCTCATCTTTTTTTTTTTTCAATACTGAACTGACATTTGCCAGTGTGGGCGTCTTGCACTTTCCTGATAAAATATCAGATGTGCAAGTGGTTAGGGGAAGAAAAAAAATGTCTCTTCTATCTTTTTAATTAAAGCTGTCTTATTTTTATCATTCTTATCTTAGAAATAACTCACTCCCAGTGTGCTGTCTTTGAGCACAATATTTAGCGCCATATTTTGAGCACGATCATTCTCGCAGAATAAGCCACGTTCATTACAGATGTGGGACCCCTTGTCTGGAAGCAGTCACTGTGTCGATGCATTTTAGAAAAGGCCAGGAGTCCTATCTGGAATATTAACCATCTGTCTTCCTGTATGATGCCCCTTTACCTCATTGCTTGCCTTCCCTAGAATTAGCTCTGTGGACCACCTTAGAGTGTGAGAGACTCTAAAAGCAATAGTTAAGCTTGCTTCCTCTTGTTTGATTCGGACTATAGCTAAGTCTAAGCCGAATATGAGGCTCCAGCTAGCTACTGGTATAGTAGATTCCTATAAAAACACCATATGTGTCATATTTGATACACACGGTTTCTGATATGTTTTGGATCTGAGACCTTTTGCATAATTTGATGGTAAGGCTCAAAACCCAAATGTACCTGATAACAGTGGGCAGAAGACTACGCAACAATCATTTGGACTTATTTCACACTCATTCAGTCATCTCAGAAATATCCTTTAGGACACTAACATGTGACAAAGTCAAACAAGATTCTCTTACAAACCAA